ATCTGATCTATTTATAGATTTAACTTGTTTAAGAATCTAGAACAATGCTATTCAGATTATTTTCATCATAGGTAGTAAATATAAAAAAGTAAGTTTAATATTTCAAACTTTATTAGAATCAATTCTACTATATTATTTATATTATTATTTATATTATTGCTATATTATTTATATTATATTATAAATATATTATAGTATTTGATTACTCATTATCTGTGATTGCTTGCCATTCTGCCTATGCAACTGCTAAACTAGTACTGATCCAAAATATAATTTATCCAAATTAATATAATTGATCCAAAATATATTTCTCGGAATAAATTGCAGCAATATTTTCTATTTGCATTAAAGGCAAATAGAAGGATAAAAGTTTAAACATCATTCCATTATTATATATTATTCATTTGCATTAATTTTAGATATATTTCAAACTATTCTTTCCTGATATCTTAAAACATTTGACAATAAATCTAAAACTAAAGAGTCTACTGATAAATCCATATTTTCTTTTCTATCTTTTTTTTCATATTTCACTCTGCCATAGCGTCATAAAATAATTATATTTTTTACGTACCATAAGTTTATATGCAGCTTGCAGAGCTGCACCCAATGCACTATTTGTATCATGAGTTCCTTGAAATTTTATGGGTAATTGAGTTAATAAATCTCTTACTAATTCTTCTCGTTCTTTCAAATTGACAATTAAATTCTCCGGGCATGGAAGAAATACATCTATATAAATATTTTTTATGATTAAATATATTAAAAATAATATGTAAATAATTTTATTATTAATTATTAAAATGTAACATGTAAAGTTAAAAAATGAACATAATTTTACCATCGATATCAAGCATAATCATTTCCTGAGGTTGTGATACATTGTCAGGTATGCCAAAGAAATGTATGGCAGAATCTACTGCTAAAAATCCTATTTGTGTTCTACTATCACCTGGCAGTCTTGATAATTCTTCTGAAATTACGTTGCAGACTGTGTTCAAGTAACCACTTTCTACTGCTAATCTCGAAACGTCCAAAACAAACAAGTACACAGCTGGCTGTGGTGGACGTAGCTTAAAAATATTTATTATTTTATTTATTTTTAAATACTTTTAATTTTTCATTTCGATTGATAAATCTTAATGATTTTTAAAAGAAATATTTACTAATTTAAAATACTTTTAATAAACAATAGTAATTTATTATAATTTTTATTAATAATTGTTATAATTATAATATAATAAGAATTTTAATTCCTATGCAATATATTTAAATATATTTAAAATGTTTTTTTAACTTTTTTATGTTTTACAAATTTTATTTTTTATTTATTACTTTCACTATATATTAATACACTTTTAAATATATTAATATCTTACCATATATTCACTAGATGCAATAAATTCAATAGTACTAGTTTTTACTTCTGGTCTTCTTGATGGATCTCCATATGATTTTGTTACAGGATCAAATTGAAATTCTTCTGGCACTGTAAAAATATTATTAATATAAAACTTTTTTTTATTTTACACATTCATATAATTATAATTTTATATAAAATATATATTAAAAAACTATTAAATATTCATATATATATATATATATATGCAAATTGAAAATATAAAAAAATTATATTTACATTCGTTTATTCTATAACAAAGATTACATTTCCATCTTTTTGAATCATTGAAATATACAAACGGATTAATATATGTTCTGCAAGCATGACAACGAACTATTGTACTACATTGTATTACTGGTAAATGCTGAAAGTATAATAATATAGTTATTAATAAATTAGGCTATACAAAAATACAAATATATTATATTTCACAATTACTATTTCAAATATTCATATTTAAGAGAAAATGTTTTACTTACATTTAAATCTTTGAAAGGATGTATTAAAACTCCTAAAGGCAATCTAGATTTCTGCAGCAAAGAATTTGATACAGGAATCTTTGTAAGTGTGCAGCGGAAAATACTAAAAAAAAAAATTACAAAATCATTAAAACTAAAACTTAGAAAATAAAAAAATAATCAATATTGCAATAATAAATTAAATAATTTACATAAATTATGAACAATAATAAATTAATTATAATTAAACAATTAATTAATTTAATATGTTATATAACAATGCTATACTTTTTGTTTAATGAACTTATTTAATATATATAATAATATTATTATATTTTATAATTATTATTTAATATTATAAATCTTAAACTTTACAATATTCTTTATTTAAAAAATACTTACTCTGAACTACAATTGACACTGTCTAAAAACTCTTGATGGAGTTTAATTTTTGGTGACTCTACTTTTTCTATAGGTAGAACATTTCGACATTGTAAAAGATCAATAGTCTCCATTCCCTAAGACAAAATAAATTTATAATGTTACTTAAATAAGAATAATAATAAAAGAATAATAATAGTAATAATAATAATAATAATAATAATAACAATAACAACAAGAACAATAATAATAATTAATTGTTAAATACTAATTAAATAAATTTGATTTTTATTAAATTATATAAAATTTATGTATTAAGTTATAAAAACATAATGAAATTATTTTAAAATAATATATAATATTCAACAAATTATAAAGAAATAAATTAAAAATTTTTAAATTATCAAACTTTTTTACATAAATAAAATGAATATCATACTTACCCACAATTTATTATAGCCAAGTTGGGTAACAGACATCATATTCATTTGATTGTTTAAATGATTTATTTGATCAGGATATGATTCTGGATATCGTTTATTCAATGAATCTGGTGGCATATTCATCGAATTTGGTTGCTGACCTGGATACTAAAAAAGATCAAACATTCTAAAATTTCTAAAATTTCTAAATCTCTCTATAATTACAACCAAACAATATAAAAATATTACATATTCTATTTACTTTTTTACAGATATTTTTTTTTAATTTTTTAATAAAATAAAAGTATTAATTATTAAAAATTCATTTTATCTTTCCTTATCTTTGAGATATTACTAATGAAAAATAAAAAAAAGAAAACAAGTAATAATATTAAATAAATGAATAAATAAATGAATCAATCAATTATTATTTTAATATAATCAATTAAAACTATTAAAATTTATGATCTATATATTTACTATTATATTAATATCACAATTAGTCATAAAATATGATTATATTGTATTTAATCAATTTCTTAAATATAATTCACAATATATATCGCAATAAGTTAATATTATTTACAATAAATACTAAAATTAATTTTCAAAACTGATTTTCTATATAATATTAATGTTATTTTTTACAACATTGTTTTTTTTGTAATTTTTTTTTAATAAAAATACATTAAAAAATATTTATAATGAAGATATTTAATCAACAAAATGTTTTAATTTTTTAAAAAATATTAAAAATTACAAAATCTTATTATTATTTCATAATATATTAAATATTAATTAACTATCAATAAACTTGTATTTTAATTGCAAGACTCTTTTATATTATATTATTAATTTATATTTATCACTTTTTTAATAATAATGAAAATCTATAATAATTATCAAATTTAATAAAAAATTATTGGAATAATAAGAATATAAAAAATCATATAATGTTTTGCATTTTAAATGCTTAAATCAATAATTTTATAAAATATAAAAATTAAATATGTCTATAATTTTGATATAAGTTAAAAAATTGCTTTAAAAATATTTTTTTTTATATTTATTATTTACCCATAATTTATTACACCCAATTTGTGGTGCTGACATCATATTCATTTGATTATTTACATGATTTATTTGATCTGAATATGATTCTGTATAACGTTTATTTACTGAATCTGGTGGCATACTCATTGGATTTGATGGTTGACTTGGATACTGAAAGCAAAGATTCAATATTCTTTTTTAATTATATTTATTTACAATTTATATTACATATTGATTATAATTTTAATTATAAAAATAAAACTTTAAATTATACAAAAATACAAAAATAAATATAAAAAAATTATTGCAATATAAATCTGAAATTTAAATAATTATAATATGATAAATTTTATAAGTAAAAAAATTGAGAGAATAAATATAAATAATATAAATTATTAATATAAATAATATATATAATAATATAAAAAATATATATAAATTAAAATTGAAATTATATACATACATTTAATATTTACAAAAATGAACAAAGATATTAAATTTTTCTTTTATAATCTTTTATTAAATGCAATATTTAAAAAATATCTCCAAAATAATTAATAAAAATTTAATAAAAAAATCGGATAAAATTGATTTAAAAATAAAATTAAATAATATTCTCTATAAATTACCAAACAGTTTTTAATAATTGAAAAAATAAAGTTATTGACATACTTATGTATTTCAATATAAAAAAAACTAATTAATTATCAATATTCAAAGATTAATTTAATTAAATTTCAAATTTAATTAATGATTTATCAAAGATAAAAACAAATCAAGAAAAAACAAAAATAAAAGTTTTTATTATGAACCCAAAATTTTCTTGGACTTTTTTAACATGGAAAAAATTTTTCACTTTTTAAATAAAATGTTTTCTTCATATTGTGTTTATCACACAAATATGAAGAAAAATTTAAAATACACAATACACATTGTATTTTTCAGTAATTCACAGTAATAAATCTACATTTATTATTGAAAAAAATACACTTCATCGACGTACTATACAACATTACGTGGCAGTTCAGTTAATTCAAGCGCCATTTTCGAACAAAAATATGATCGCGAATCACATATTTGAAATCACAATATATATATTTAATGCTTAAGTATATGTATTTTATTATATATTATATGGATTAAATTTTTAAATTTTTCTATTTATTACAGAAATATTTAAAAAAGATCAATTCATTATATCTATAGCAAATATATATAACAATAATCTTTCGCATATTAAAATATCAGAATATTAATGCAAATAACTGAACACATAAAATTAAGTAAAAATTAAATAAAAAAAAGTAAAAATAAAAATAAATATACTTCATAATTATAAATAGATAAACAGATTGTAATTCAATAATTTTTTCTTATAATAAATTTTTTATAATAAATTTTCTAATTTTTCTATTATTTATCATAATTTATTAATAAAACAATGCAATAATACAAAAATTAATATACAAAAAAGATTGAAAAAAAACTTATTTATAATTAAATTATAAGCAATTTTAATTTGCATTAAATAAATAAATGGAGATAGAATAAAATTATTCTGTTTCTGTTTCGTTTTATCTAATATAAATTGCTTGTAAACAGATTTTTCTGCAAATTAAATTGTTATACATATAATTAAAGAATAAAGATTTTAATTTTTAAAGATTTTTTTATTTTTCAAATATAATAATGTATAACTTAAATATTTTGTATCTTTTTGTTATGTGCATTTTGTATGTTTTTATAAATTCAAATTTTACATAAATATCTGTAATCTATTTAACTAATAAGTAAGCTTTAATTGATATATTTATATATCAACTTTTGTATTTGTTTTGGTCTCTCAAAAAATTGTCTTTTCAAAATCTCATAAATATATAAATATTCCATATTTATATCAATTTGATCATTTTTAACAATGAGAAATTTATAATAATAATTAAATTAAATTAAACTTAACATAAAAAATCATTAACACAAATAATCATAATTTTTATATTAAACAATGTTACTTTAATTATGTTAAATTTTAATTTTTGAGAAACTATAATAACTCAAGCTTTAATAAGAAATTTTTATAAAACTTCGAAAAAATATATATATATATATATATATTTTATATAAATTATAATATTATGATAAATGTGATTCATTTGAATTATTATATAAAAGACAATATATAAAATATATTAATTTTTAGGACAAACTTTAATTTAATATCATAAATTACATTAATATATAATTATAAAATCCATAATTTTATAAAAAATATAAAATTGTTTTAAAATATTCGTATCTATTACTTACCCATAATTTATTATAACCAAGTTGTGTTGTAGACATCATATTCATTTGATTATTTATATGATTCATTTGATCGGAATATGATTCTGAATATCGTTTATTCATTGAATCTGGTGGCATACTCATTGGATTTGGTAGCTGACTTAGATACTAAAAAAAAATGATTAAATAACCAATAATAAAACAATATTAAATGAATATTTTTTCTAATTATAATTTTAGACAAATTTTAGAATATATGAAAATGAGATCAATATTATAAATAAAAAATAATAAATAAATAAAAATAAGAAGTATGTATAAACTAATAAAAAAAAATAATAAAAACATTATATATAACACATTTAATTATATATTTAATAATATATATTAAATATATTTTATTTTTATTATTTTATTAAATGATATTTATAAAAAAATATCTTTAAAATATAAAAAAATTTCAATTTAAAAATACAATATATATTCTTTATTAATGTAATATAATAAATAAAAATATTCTTAATATTCTTTATTAATTATTAAAAACTATTTGAATATTATCAATAATTGAATAGTTATCAATAATTGAAAAATAATGTATATATATATATATATATATTTCAAAATTAAATGTAATTATATTGATATATATTAATATTGATTTTCAAAAAACTAATTTAATTAATTAATCGTACAAATATTAAAAGACTAAAAAGAAATCCAAAAAGGTTAAAACGTCAAATTCAAGTAAAAATATCGTTAAGTCTATTTTTTTATTTATCTTTTCAATAATAAAAAAAATTTCTCACCTTTTGGACGAGATTAACACACAATATGTGATAAAAACTTTATTCGACACTGCACAATGAAATGTACATTACACTTTTTACAGAATAATTCGTAGTTTATTATCCTCGAAAATGTACCTCATCGACGCGACACACAACATTACGTGGCAACTCAGATTGTGGCGCCTTTTTTAATTAGTGGACTGATCACAAACTATTATATATTATTTATGTACTTGTATAATTAAAATAATTAATTTATTAGGGATATGTATTTACATATACATAATTACTTTGCAAATTCTATAAAGATTATATATATATATCAATCATAAAAAAAGTGTTAAAAATCATAAAAATATTTAATATTTTTCGAAATATTTTACTTTATTTTATATATTTATATGTTCAAACATTTTATCATTATATTTTAAATCATTTTTTAATACTTTCATTTTATCGATTTATATTTATTGTATCTCAAGTACATATGATTATTATAATTGCAAAAAAATTATATTCGAAAATATATTAAATATTAAAATGAAATTTATTATCGTTACATTAATATATATTTCATAGATTAATATAATTACTCTCTTTTATTTATAATTATAATTAATCTCTTTTATTACAACGAATAAAGTATTTCAGAAATAATCAATTAAATTTTTGCACAGTTTATTGATTTTGATATTTGCAATCATTTTTATTGCATTTTTACTGTACGAATTAGTGCAATATGTACTATATTATATGTATTATAGTTATATACTGTATATAATTATAATAATACATTATATATAACAATGAAAACAACTTATCAATGTTTTGAAAAAATCGATGTATTCTGCAGATATAGACTAATATATTGAAACTATTATTTTTTTCAATTTTTTTATATAAAATCTAAATCTCTGAAGTTGATCATTGATTGTTATTGAAAATGCTCATTATTTAATCATCTCACGAATATTAAATTAACATATAATTCAATTTGAATTTTTAAATTATAATACATATGAATTTTCTATTCCAAATAATTTGAATTTGGCGCACTGGTGCTTTTATTATCCAATTATATTGGATTGGATAAAAGTTCAACATGGCATCATGTAACTCGTAAAGATATCCAAATTATAATCTTGAATGAAAATCACTTTTGAATCATTGAATTTTAATAATTATGATCATTATTTTCGAATTTTACACATTAAAAATGATTTATATATTGAATTTATGAAATGTATTAAAAAGGGATAAAAAATTTTAATATCTTTTTTTGAAATTTTACTTTAATTTTTTAGAGATATAAAAAAGGTTACAAGAATTATTATTATTTAAATATAAAAAATAATAATTATTTAATAAAAATTTTATATATTTTTTAAAAATTTATTTAATAAACAGTGAAGAAACAGTTTAACAAAGTTCAATATTTTGTATCATTTGAATTTTTTCCAAAGATTTCTCTGTGTTATTTTTTCAATAATATCATGTGTTAACAATTAAATAAAAAATAATATAATAAACATGTCAGAAGCAAGTAGAAATCAAGATACAAAAAAAAGAAAAGAAATGTTATATGGTAAGTATGTGCTTAAATTAATTTTATTTCGTAATTTAATAATTTTATTTAAAATTATATAAATTGAAAAGATTGAACATATATTTTTTTATATTTATTTATTTGATTTTTTTATTGTAATTATAAATGTATATAATAAATATAAATGTATATAAGAAATTTATATAAAATTTATTTATATAAAATTTATATAAAATTGTAAATTTAAAATTTATATTATTATATAAAATAATATATATAAAATTTTTTTAATTATTAAAAAAATGTAAAATAAATTTAAATTCATAGTTCATATAGAATAAAATATGAAATTATATATAATCTATATATACTTTTTTAACTGTAATGATATAATATATTTTAATATTTATAATGTTTATACTTTATTTTAATAATATCTACATTATGAATTTTTGTTTCAGAAACATTATTCTTAACTGGAATAGCAGGAATTTCTGCTATGATCGGTTTTTTTAATGCTTTAGCATCAATTAAAAAACAAGATACTAAACATTTTGATATTGGACTTATGGGAGGAAAAGGTCTTCAAGAATCTGGTGCAGCACTTGCTACAAGAGCTTTATTGTGGGGTTCTGCATGGGCAGTTAGTGGTTGTAGTATACTTTTTTATGGAATTTGGAAATTATCTGGAGCTACTAATGCTAAAGAGTTTCGCTTAAAAGCTGGAAATATTTTACCAAAAATACCAAAAAATGATCCTCCTCAAAGTAGAACTGAATTTGAAAATCTTACAGATTTATTAAAATATGTTTCAGAAGAGTGGGGCAAAGAAAAATAATTTTGTTTTGTGTGTGTGTGTGTGTGTATGCGTGCGCGCGTGCGTATGTGTGTATATAAATAAAAGAGAATATAATTGTTTCGCTCATCTTCATACATCTAACATTTGATCTATAAGTTTATAAAACAAAAATAGAATTATATCCATAAAAAATTAGTTTCAAATATCTATAGTAAAATAAATTTAAAATCTTGTACTGCCTATATATTATGTAAAAATTAATATTTATAATATATTACTAATAAATAATATTGGAAATTTGATTTATAATATAGAACATATAAAACATATTAAATTTTATATATCTAAACAATATAAAAAATTTTATTTTAATTGTAATTCTGATAAAAGACATTTAATTAAAAATAATTTATAGAAATGAGAAATTACAATAATAAGTATATAATAGGTATATTTAATAGGTATATATATTATTAGATATAATATATGTAATACTAAATATATATATTACTATATATATAGTATATAATATATATTACTATATTTATTGTTAAATTTAAAAATAAATCATTTAAATTAAAAAAAATAAAACAATTGATTTTTTATTATAAAAAAATTTGATTTATCATTTTTTATAAATAAACTTTCTTTTCGTTCATATGCTTTCTTCATTTAATTAATAATTTATTACGAAAACATATAACAGGTATTACTAATTAATATTATAAAAATAATATTGTAATTATAAATTTTCTAAAAGAAAATTAAAAAATATTTGAAAATTCAATAGCTCTATTTCTGTCACGCTATCGTTTCATTTAAATTCAATTAATATTTTACATATCGTCTGACAGATATATGCAAATATAGACAAGAAAAGGAAATGATAAGAAAAAACAAATGGAATAAAAATATCAACGCCATCTTCAAAGTACCATAAATGAAACATAAAAAAATAGTAAATAATAGAAGAATAGAGATAAAATATAAATTGATTTTCAATGTCATCTATCAGATATCAAAGATTTCTTCAATAAAATAGATCAGATAGAATAATTAATTAAAGATCAATTCCATCTTTTGAAGAGTAATTTTAAAGAAATATCTTTGATATTCTACTAAAGATAACGCTGACAATTTTTATTTCCTCCATATTTCTTTCTTTATTTACTGTTTTTTCCATGTTTTATTTGCAATATTTTAGAAATGGTATTGATTTCAATATTTTTTCTCTACTTCTACTTTCACTATTTCTTCTTCTTATCTATATTTGTTCTGGAAAATTTACGCACTCAGAAAATGATTGCAAAAAAGGACGTAATTTATGATAAGATAAATATACTCAGTTATTGTTTTTTTACAAAAATTACTATTGTATTTGAATACTCTTACTATTACAAATAAATAATCGAGAATAAGATTATAAATTATAAATTAAAGAATTAAATATGAATATTAATTTAGCTATTATAACTAATACTTCAAATGTTTATCTCAAAAGATTTTTTTTATATGATTAATCTGATATAATTATTGAAAATATATAATATTAAGAAAAATGAAAAGATAAAAAGAATATAAAATAATAAACAACAAAAAGAACAAAGAGAAATATTTTTTCAAAATATTCGATTTATTATCTTTTAGAACATGTTTATTAACTGTAATAGTAACTGTATAATTGTAAAATAGTTATTAAAAGAATTAAAATTAATTTTCAAACAGAGAATTAATTCTTTTTGATAGATATTTTCATCAGGTTTAAACCATAAAATTTTAAGACCATCATACATTGCGGGTGAAGCAACTGCTTCATACCACAGAAGAGGTAAATGATTGACATATGTTTGAAGTTTATATATATCATCAATCACATATTTATCACATTGATTAATATCAGCATTGTTAGACAAAATAAGAAACCATAGATTTCCAACAAAAATTCAGCACTGTTTGTAAGATCTTCAACTACGCTTAATGGAATCTTTTTTACCATTGTTGCATGATATTTTATATGCGAACAATATTCTAACTTTAGTGTAAATGATATTACATTAAATGCATTTTCAAGTAATAATATCGGTCAGTCGTGTTAACAGCACCACTAATCAAATCCATTAATTGATCCTCCTTAGTAATTATAATCGTGTCACGTCCATTAAGTATTTTACCAACTATCAACTGATAATTTTTTTTCAACTCATCATCATTGCATTCGTTTTGAACAGAAAACGATATTACAATTTTTTGTTGATTATCGGAAATATTTTTCTTTGTGATACCATTTATTTTTTTATTTTTTAAATTTTCATCAATAAATGACATTTTTGTCGTATCTTATAAAATTCTAAAGTAAACAAATTTATTTAATTTATTTTGAAAACTGTATAGTTAAAATAAACACAAAATTGTACTTACAAAATAAACTTTTCGAACTAAAATATATTATGAAATAAATATATTTTATAAATATTAAATAAATTATTTTAAGAAAAAAGAATATATATAATTGAATAAATTCAATAAATAATAATTAAAAATTATTAAACTTTTTATTTTAGAAAAATCAATATATTTACTTGAACAAATAATATCTAAAATTTCTTAGATAGAAAAAATTTATATAAATATATGTATATATTTGGTCAAGATATATATGATGATTTAATACAACTGGAATTTCTGAACGAACGAAAGAAGTAGAAATCGCAAATATGACTGCATGATTGTAACCGAATCAAATAATAAATACTTATTTATTACTATATAATACTTATAGATACATATGTTATCTCTCTCGGCCATATCTAAGCCACGTAAGAGATGTAAATAATTGACTTTTTCTTATTTTTACACATATCTTATTCATATATCTTAGATCGATTACTTTTTTTGCATAATATTTGTTTCAAAAATATAGATTTTTAAACTTATGTAGATTTTCATGATAATTTTCTTAACATATTTATCTATTAAACGTGAATATGAACATTCATTTTTTTTTCCATTTTATCTATAAATGATTTATCTATAAATTCTTTATCTCATTAAAATAAAATAAATTTTTTATAAAAAATATTACAAATATATTTATTTTATTCTTAAACTTGATTTCTGGTTCAAGTCTGAAAAATTTAAAAAAAAAATATATATATATATTATTTTGTAATCTTTTCTCTTTAAATTCCGTTTTTTTAATTCATAAGTATCCTAAAATTGTAATTAAAAAATAAATTATTAAATTATTAATTGCATTTAAGATAATTAAGATGAAATTTCATAATTATAGACAAATATTTTTATTTTCAAATACAATTAGTTAAATTCATATTCTTTTAACTTTATACAATAAAACATTTACCATTGAAAAAAACATTTCTGAACAATTATTAATCTTTAATCAATCTAGTATGTTTTTTTTCAATTAGGTAGTTTTTTTTTTAAATAAAATTATTAATTAAATATTTGAAAATATCTCAGATAATAAAGTAACTTCCTAAATGCATAGAATGTATATATATATATGTATGTATGTATGTATGTATATATATGCATTTATTGATAAAAAAATTCTAAGTAAAAATTCTTATAAATATGAAATAACAATATCATAATATATGTTTAAAATAATATAATTAATATAATCTATGCATAAATTCGATTATAAAATATTTATAAAATATATACACATTTTTTTGTTTTTATCATTGTTTTATTCTTAATTTTATTATTTATTATGTTTATAACACATAAGTTTCTAAAAGAAGTTGACATTTGGATATTTGTTTTAATTATTCTAATTACAGTAAATACATAAGATATAATTATAAGTTTATGTCTGTATAAACATGTATAGTCATAAACATATACGCGTAAAAAGAGTTATATTTTCAAAAAATCAAATTAAGATATGAAAAAAATTAAAACATAACCTGATTTGTTTTGTTGCTAATATAATTCAATGTTGAATTGTACTTATAAATTCTTTTTAAGAAATTCAATATATTCTTTGCAAATATGTTTTCTTCTTCTTATTTTATACAATGTGCCCCATCCATTTAGAATGTTATTATGTATACATAGTTTTTGCAAAATTAAAACGAAATTAATCACACGTTAATCACGCGTTCCTTATATGTAAAGAAAGAAATGGGAGGGAAGTGAAAATATTATTAGTATGTCGATCTAATGACTAGATTATAACTTCGATCTAACTACACATTTAGCCATTGATACGATTTATATAGATTTGTACATTGCCTAAAATTTTATTTTCTTACTTCCTTTTAGATTGTTTTTCTCTTTACACTACTTTTTATTACATTTTTAATATGAATATTCACATATTTCTCTTACTACATTTCCGTTATTATTTTTCTCTATTATATATCGTTTATAAGTGGAATTCACATATTTTTTCCTCTTTATTTATTAATAAATTTAATTTAACTTCTTTTTATTTTGACATCAAATAATTTTCAATTTCTTATCAAAATTAATATTTTATCAACTCGATGTTTATATTGCAAATTTTTAATAATATGTTATTAGACAATTATTTCTAAAACATCGCTTAAAATATATTTAAATTTAATTTCGTCTATAAAAGAACGAATAAATATATTTTTTAATTTTGATTATTAATTAGAAATATTAACATCAAATTATTATAATAAAATTATTGAATATTACCATTTATAAATAAAATTCTACTTAACTTTAAATATATATCCAGAAAAGAAATCTTATTTATTTTTTTTTTTGAAGATTTTTGTTAAATATATAATTTTCCAAATATAAGATTTCGTTTGTTAAATTTAAGTACACCTTAAGCTCTTTTATAGTTTTGTTATTTATTTTCTTGCATAACAATTCTAATAGTATTGTTAAAAATAAAACATCAGCAGAATTTATTAATTAAGGCTCGGATTCTGACCAATATCCCATTGAATTTCAATTCTGGGCCACTTTGTTTGAAGTACTGTTAACATAGGATTACTTTCCATAATACCCTTGATAGTACATTCCAGTAATACCGCTTGACCTTTATGATATATCACTTTATTTTCTGGATTGCTATGTTGTAGACCATTATAATGATACAACGGAAATGTATCTGGGCATGTTCGTGGCTCTTCAGGGAAGAATTCATCCATGAAATTAGTACGTAAAATAATTCCCAAATTTTCACTATCCAATTTTTTCTTCATTACATTGACACTGTAATAAAAATATAAATTGCAATTAGGAATTATGTCTACTAATCTTAAAAATATTTCCATATGAGTACGTTATCCTTTTTTTTTTTATTTATTTCATTCCTATTCAATATTTATTATTCTTTTCATTTTTAATGAATTCAAGGGGCAAATATCTACTTTCGCGATTTTATCAAATTAATTAATTACTAAAATACATATTAATATTTTTCTTCTATTATTTGCTTATTAAAGAATTTTTTGAATCTGTAATTGTGATGCAATTTTCCTTTCTTTTCTTTATTATATTTATTAAATTAAATTTAATAAGCAAAATAAATAA